GCGCGCCCGGGACGGAGCCACGGACGCCTGGCCTCGGCTGCTCGCCCCGGTGGGTGCTGCGTCGCGCTCCCCCGCGCCCTCTGCCCCTCTCCGCCGCTGCTCCTGCCCGGGTCCCGCCGCCTCTGCGCGCTCCGGGCGGCTCTGGGTTTCTAGCCGAGGCAGGGCGCAGCACCTTTGATTTTAGTTTTAAATTTTGGAGGGCGTGGGACTGAGGATTTAGGACTTCGTGGTTATTACTGTAGGGCTGCCTGTTGATGAACTGCCTTTAGGAAGTATACCCCTATTTTGCTTGTCCTCCTCTTCCTCTTCTTTTTCTTACTTTTAATTTTTTTCCTTTTGCTACTGGCTGTAGGATGTTAGGCCTTGCACTGGATAGGTAGGTGCTCAACCACTGGGCTACATCTCTATTCAATTTCTTTATTATATGTTTTATTTTACTTCTGAGACAGGGTCGTGCTAAATTGGCGCGGCTGTCCTAGAGCTTGTGATCCACCTGCCTCAGCCTGCCCAGCAACTGGGAAGGCAGGCGTGCATTACCCCGCCTGGGTGGTGTGTGTGTGTGTGTGTGTGTGTGTGTGTGTGTGTGTGTGTGTGTTGGGTTGGTTTGGTTTGGTTTGGTTTGGTTTTTAATGGGGCTTTATGTCAGCTGGATCATCTCTTCACTTCCTATTCGGGCGCACTTTCTCAAAGACACCCCAGTGGCTGCCTCTTAACCTGACCTCGGCAGTGACTCAGGACTCAGGAAGCAGACAGTGGCACGCCTTGAAATCGTTCCCACGATCTCATTGTCTTTCATTCTTTCTTTTTTGCCCCCTCCTCCCTTTTTTTTTTTTTTTCTTTTTTCAAAGACCAGAGAAAAGCGCCAAGGCAAACATTTCTACCCCAGGAGGGAATTCTCGCATTTTTCTGCACTGCAGTGACTTCCTGTCCTTCTCCAGTCTCTGTTCAAGTCGTTTCGCAGCAAAGGGAGGAGTTGCTATTTCCACATGGGCATCCAAAAATGAGTCACAGGGCTGCTCTCTTCGTTGTGAGACTTTGCTAATCGACCTTCGAAAATTAAGGTTTGCCGGGCTTGAATTTTAAATAAGGTTCTGGGTGGGAAGCTGGCCTGGGCTGCCCACCTGGGTCAGGGCTGCAGGAAGTAACAGTGCAAGTGTGTAGATAGCCTCATGTGCGGGATAGGACATCACGCCAGCCAGGGTCGCTAGGCGGATCTCAGATGGTAACCCTGAAAATCGTGCGCTTTGCTACAGAAAACCAAGAGAAAATTAACTTCCTGGTTCAATAATCGTTTTGCTGTTATTGTCATTGTGTGGTAGAAACATGTTAGTTCACATCCTAAATTGCTCTCTGAAACCAAAATATTTAGGAGAGTTTGTCTTTATGGAATTGGGGCTAAAACCACTTGGAAAGTTTGGGTTTTTATTATTATTTTATTATTTT